CTCATCTTTTATATCCTCAGAAAGTGTTTTTCTTTTTCTTGAAAGTGCTTTGCATTGTCGTTCCTAGTGGTATCAGTAACCCATTGATGAAATTCAGCAGCATATTCATCAACAGAACGTTTTCCTTGGCATAAGTTCAATAACACAGCCTCAGCAGTTACATTGTGATTCAGATAATCAAAAATTAAATCCATGGCTGCCACAAAATTGTCAAAATCTCTTAGAATAGCATTGTCTTTCTCCAAGTATGGCGAAGCCCATGCCAGGACCCCTTCAATTAGTAGAGATATTATAAACCCTGTCTTGGAGCGTGGGGTTGCAAATTGGTAAGGTTGCAGCTGAAAGTGAAGTTGACATTGATTCAGGTAGCCTCTGTAACGCTTTGGATTCCCATTGAATTTATCAGGCAAAAGGAGGCGGTTAGGTTCACTGTTAAAAATTGTTTACTGTCAATGCTGCAAAAGTTGTGAACGCAATTCAGCTACCTCCCCCTGTAACTCATGCACAGGTACTTGTGAGCCTTGAATCATCTGAACCTGACTTGTAAGAGCCTCAGTTAGTGAAACAACATGTTGACTCAGAGATCGTGGAGTTGTGACTGTCTCCATGTTTTTTTAGGCCAGATTATTCTGTTGGGAAAATACCTGTAGAGAGTGAAGACCAATGGCTGTGAATGTCAGGCTAAGCACCATTCACAGTTCCTAAGAGGCTGAATTGTCTGAACCACTAGACGGATGATCTGTGTCAGAGTCACTAGCCAAGGTAGTCGGGGGTCACAAGCCAAGGTCAGAGCAGGAGAAGAGTTTCCTAGTTGGGTCACAAGCCAAGGTCGATGCAGGAGAAGAATTTCATAGTCGGGCTCACAAGCCAAGGTCAGTTTCAAGCCATAATAGTGGTAGCTCAAGGCCGTGGGTAGAAATACTGAGAGGAGCACAATAATCTGGCAACAGGAAGTGCAGAGGACATGGCTTAAATCAGGAAGTGAATAGGAGGAGCAAAGAGTTCAAGGTTCAAGACAAAACAAGGTTCAAGAAAGGATCATCCAAGGATTTGTTCATGGAACTGTCCTGGTTCAAACCCAATCCCTGACATTCAGATAGTGATAGGATCTTGCAAACACCAACCCTTTAATCTTCCCAAAATATGTGCAAAAAATCCATTGGTGACTATCAGTATTCATAATATGAACTCCACATGCAATTCCACATCATGCTCCATTTGTGAATCTTCTCACTTTGATAATGACCTCCATTGAATGAGAGGACAAAATAGGCACTGTATGATGTGAGCAGAGAACACCTGACCTCTTAATAGAAATTGGGATCTTGTCACAAATATACTCCAATACCATCCACAGAGTATACAAGGAAACCTTCTCATGTGCCCCTCAAAATTTTAAAACTACATCTAGTGCTCTCAGGTTAAAGGTACTTTATTTAAAAAAAAAAATATGAAATCTACTCACAAGAGTAAAGAAAGCACCAACATAGAAGTAAGATGTAATTCCTTCCCTGGAGGTCAAGAACAGCCTGCCACTCGCTCTCCACACTCAAGTTGGGGGGTGGTGATAACATCACTGTAACTCTGCCCTTATGCGTTGAATCCCAGTGGGTGGGGACTTCATCAAAGTCACATATGTATTATTTATTGAAATATTTATTGATTAGTGCTGCACACAATTTATTGCCTATATAGGGATTTTATTGTATTTATTGTACCAGTAGTGTATACATGTTTTTTTATCTTGTGAATAAAGATTACAAAAAAATATTTTTTTGTTTGTTTGTTCTTATGCACCAAGAAAGTCCACAGTGTCCTCCCACAGTGTTTCTATTTGGTATAGGATTAGGATGTGGTGCTTTTAAATGCTGATCTCTCTATAGAACATACATTGGCTTATTGGTTGGGGGAAATATTAGAACAAAGTAGTAATAGAGTTTGAGTCATTCTTCTCACTGGCCCACAACTGGATATGGGAAAAGATGTAGTAATCCTGGCAACTCTCGAAGATCTAAAGATAGTTTAAACAAAAAAAAAAAGTAAAAATAAACCTGTTTTGATGTAAAATGATTTGCTGATTGTATATTAAATAATATTTTAAGTCAATCATGCAACAATCCAGAAAAAGATGTAGGGGTTTGCCAACTGTAATTAAATAAATACTGCTATATGATGTCAGATCAATATAAATCTCAGGTGCATTATGAAAATTAGCACATAAGCATTTATCCTTTGTAATTGTAAGGTGCTAAAATTGTTAAATATTCATACAGTGAGAGGCGCATACAGTAAAACGTTGCCACCCAAATGTACTTTCTGTTCTAGAGAACAATGAGAATAGCACATTAATTATTAACATACTCTCACTGGATGCTTCTATGATAGCTATAAAAATATCTCTTTATAGCCTTTATACAAATACAACAGCACTGGTTCACTGCAACCTAACTTCTCAAAAATGTTTTTTTTTTTTTTAAGAATGTTGTGCAAGGAATCGGATCTGAATATGAATTTCCATATTTATACTTGCGTGTATATATATATATATATATATATATATATATATATATAAAATAATTTATATGCGCTTTGCCTCCGTATTGCATAAAAAATATTCAATGCGTAATAATCAACAAAAAGGGAAAACAACAGTAACAGCAATGTAAATGTAATATCTCCGTAATAGTCTATTTACTCAGTTTTATGTGGTTTTGCCTCTCGCAGCTTCAATGTGTTAAAAAACTGGAAAAAGAGTTTGCATAATGCTGGCCTGATCAGTCTTAGAAATAAATAAAAAATACACTCATGTCATTATGAGTCATATATACTCTAATTTAATTGTTAAATGTTTAGCGCACCCTCTAAAGAGCTGTTGGCGAAACTGAGGCTTTATAACAAAAAATGAACGGTATACCCTTTAAATAATTCCCCAATTGCACCTAAACACTTTTCACCCAAAAAGTGTATCATCCAAATATATATATATATATATATATATATATATATATATATATATATATATATATAAAGTGCTAATATACTAAATAACACTAATAAATAAATAAATAAATAAATACTACTGTCCAAAAATTATATTGTCCACAATAAAAAATAAAATATAATCAAATAAAATAAACAGAATAGACAAAAATCCTCCAGAAAGACAGTCCGCAAAAAGGCTTCCAGCCGAATGTAGATCCAGTGATTATGGAGATCGAACCAGCACATGGATATAACAAGCATGTAAGTCCCAATCCAAAAACGGCTTTTCAAACTTAGCACATGGGAAATTCCTCCTCCATTACCATATAGATTCCCTCCAAAGCTGACTAGATTATACTGATAAAGTTCATGTAAAAACTCATCCGGTCATGTTCTCAATGATTCTGGATAATGCCACCACAAACAGCAATAGGAAGTTCTTCAATACCACATAAATTGTATTGCATAAATGTCACATCATATTAAAATTATGAACAGACCCTCCATAGATCCTCAGGAACACTCCTCCTGTGTCTGTGAATGGAATTTCCAGGATCCAAGATGGCCAACCGGCAACTTCCTATTACTCAACACGTCTTGACGTCACTTCCCTTTGACATGTTTCGTCACCTTACTTATTCATAAAGGGTAAGCATACTTTAGACGTGTTGAGCAACAGGAAGTTGCCGATTGGCCATCTTGGATCCTGGAAATTCCATTCACAGACACAGGAGGAGTGTTCCTGAGGATCTATGGAGGGTCTGTTCATAATTTTAATATGATGTGACATTTATGCAATAAAATTTATGTGGTATTGAAGAACTTCCTATTGCTGTTTGTGGTGGCATTATCCGGAGTCATTGAGAACATGACCGGATGAGTTTTTACATGAACTTTATCAGTATAATCTGCTCAGCTTTGGAGGGAATCTATATGGTAATGGAGGAGGAATTTCCCACGTGCTAAGTTTGAAAAGCCGTTTTTGGATTGGGACTTACATGCTTGTTATATCCATGTTCTGGTTCGATCTCCATAATCACTGGATCTACATTCGGCTGAAAGCCTTTTTGCAGACTTTCTGGAGGATTTGTGTCTATTCTGTTTATTTTATTTGATTATATTTTATTTTTTATTGTGGACAATATAATTTTTGGACAGTAGTATTTATTTATTTATTTATTAGTGTTATTTAGTATATTAGCACTTTATATATATATATATATATATATATATATATATATATTTGAAACTGAGGCTTTCCCTTAAGTTAATGCACACACAACCAGGCACACAGCATTTTCCTCACTCTTCCACTGGCTCGAAATAACAATCTAGGGGTGTATTTTTACAGTTTTATTGGAAAGATGAATTTGGATGGAATGAAGGGAGCATGGGATACCCCAAAAACTGAAGAACTGAACACTCTGAGGATTCTTTTCTAGCTATTTAAAGACCAAATTCACATGAGGAGATTTCACCCTTCTTCCTGACATGGTAACCAAAGAGGAAGTGATATCTCCCCAGTTAGACAAAAAACATAAGCAAAAACCTGACAGTTTCTCACCAATACTCACTCTACACACCCTCATTGGAGAGATTTTGCTCAATTTCTGTATTGATGGCTACAAAGGAAGCAAATTAAAATCTTTCCAATGGCTACACACTTCTCAGATGTTCTAACCCTTTTACACTTGAAAATCACTGAAACTGTGCTTTAAATCAATGGGCATACTGCTGTTAATCTGACATATCTTAACCAGTATAGGAGCACAAATCTATTACTTTCCAGAAGAGCCTGGAGCTCAAATCCAAGCAAACCCGTTCTATATGGAGTCTGCTTCTGCTGCCATAGGGTAATTAACTTCTGCCTTTATTGACTTTAACCGCTTCCGCGCCACCCTATAGCAGAAACATTGCTACAGGGTGGCCTGGTTTTCTAAATCACATATATATATATACACATGCGATTTTGCAGTTCCAGGTAGGGGGCACGCACTTGGCGCATGCACGCCCTACCTGTGCCGCCATTCGTGGCCTCGGCTGTCAATCACCGGGTCCTAGCCGGTGATTTCTCGCTGGCACCCGGTGATCACCGAGTATCTCCGACAGGGGAGAGACCTGTGTATAAACAACACAGATCTCTCCCCTGTCAGCTCCTGCACACTTCTTTATATGGCTCTACATAGCATAGCAGAGCCATACAAAGCAATGTGCTTACAGTGAAACACAGCACACAGCCTCATAGTAAAACAGCACACAGTTACCCCTTTGATCGCCCCACATGTTAACCCCTTCCTGCCCAGTGCCATTAGTACAGTGTCAGTGCTTTTTATTAGCACTGATCACTGTATTGGAGTCACTGGGGATGTTAGTGACACCAAGTCAGTTCCCCCCAGTGTCAGAATGCCCGCCACAGTCCTGCAGTCCTGCTATAAGCTGCTGATCGCTGCCATTACTAGTAAACAAAAAAAAATTCCAGTATATATACCACCATTTGTAGATGCTATAACTTTCACATAAACCAATTAATTTACACATATTGGGATTTTTTTTAGCAATGACATGTAGAAATGTAGAATACATTTTTGCCCTAAATTTATGATGAAATTTGATTTTTTTTAGTTTTTTTACTGAACATGTTTAATAGCAAAAAGTTAAAAATATTGTTTTTTTCTCAAAACTGTCTTTTTTTGTTTATAATGCAAACATTTTAAAAAAGCATAGGTGATCAAATACAACTGAAAGAAAGCTCTGTTTGTGGGAAAAAAGGACATAAATTTAATTTGGGTGCAGTGTTGCATGACCGCGCAGTTGTCAGCTTAAATAACTCAGCGCCGTATCGCAAAAAATAGCCTGGTCAGGAAGGCGGGTTAATCCTCTGGAGGGCAAGTGGTTAATTGGCATGTGCAAGTGTATGAGAAAAAGACTCTACGGTAATTAATAATATGAATGCACAAAAAAAAAAGTATAAGGCTTTATAGTATGTTAGTGGAATCGATTGTAATAATCTTATAGAGATTGTAGATGTTTCAGGGGCAATCTATTTTAATAAATAACTAAATCAAACCACGCAAGTGCCTAAACCATAAAAGTAAAATAGCAAACACTCTAAGGGGTTATCCTCTCTTAATATCAAAAGTGAAAAAATATAAAACTGGTGTTACACCATTGAAATTATTGATAATTAATATACAATTATACAATAAATAATAGTGGTCTAAAATAGCCCAATAACCAAGAATAAAATGCACAATAGTGGTCAAAGTGCAGAATAGCAATCATATATGTGACAGTCCAAATGAAAAATATGTGAAACAGTCCCCTTTTCCTTCCTTATGTGAATAATCACAGATCTTCGTACAAACTTGTGTATCTACTAACATCACCACAGCACCACTGTGACAACAAATTGGAGGCTTACCAGATCCTTTGACCCCTTAATTATAGGAGGTCAACATGCGCTTTGTTGGAAACCATCCATGCACACTGCCATGCCATAAAATGAACCACGTGTGTCTTCCTTTACAAGTCCCGATCGCTCAGGGTTAATTTAGAACCATGCAAAAGAAAAAAATGCCTCTCATAGTGGGGACAGTTTGCAAACTATTTATTAAAAAGAAAGAATCACACTTGCAAACTGTTTAAAATCTCAAGCATAGGTAGAAATCATCAAACAGCAAAGATTGTCATAAACAGCAGCTCTTACGCGATGACGTCACAAAGGGAGTCTCCGCCCAAATCTATTTTAATAATAGATATTTCTATGCAAGGAAGAGTGCTTCTTCAAACATTTATGAAAAAATGGGTTGCTCTCAGGAGCTTAGTGAATTTAAGCGTGGTACCGGGATAGGTTGCCACCTGTGCAATAAGTCCATCCATGAAATGTCCTTGCTTCTAAATATTTCACGGTCAACGGTTAGTGGTATTACAACAAAGTGGAAGTAACTGGGAACAACAGCAACTCAGCCACAAAGTGGTAGGCCACCAAAAATGACAGAGCAGGATCCGCACTTGCTGAAGCACACAGTGCACAGAAGTTGCCAACTGTTTGCAGAGTCAATAGCTAAAGACCTCTAGACTTGTGTGGCCTTAAGATTAGTACAACAACAGTGCGTAGAGAGCTTCATAGAATGGGTTTCCATGGCTGAGCAGCTGCATCCAAGCCTTACATCACCAAATGTGATGCAAAGCGTCGGATTCAGTGGTGTAAAGCACATCACCAATGGACTCTAGAATGATGAATCACACTTCTCTGTCTGGCAATCTGATTGGATGTGTCTGGGTTTGGCGGATGCCAGGAGAATGATACCTGCCTGACTGCATTGTGCCAAGTGTAAAGTTTGGTGGAGGGGATTATGATGTGGGGTTGTTTTTCAGGGGTTGGGCTTAGCCCCTTAGTTCCAGTGACGGGAACTCTTAAGGTGTCAGCATACCAAGACATTCTGGACATTGTATCATGCTCCCAACTTTGTGGGAACAGTTTGGGGATGGCCCCTTTCTGTTCCAACATGACTGCACACCAGTGGACAAACCAAGATCCATAAAGACATGGATGAGTGAGTTTGGGGTGAAGGAACTTGACTGGCCTGACCACAACGCAATAGAACATCTTTGGCATGAATTAGAGCTCAGACTGCGAGCCAGACCTTCTCGTCCGACATCAGTGCCTGACCTCACAAATGCGCTTCTGGAAGAATGGTCAAACATTCCCTTTGCGGACAGTCTTTCCAGAAGAGTTGAACCCTACGGACTAAGACTGGGATACTATTAAAGGTCATGAGCGTGTAAAGGCAAGCGTCCCAATACATTTAGCAATATAGTGTGTGTGTATATATATATATATATATATATACACATTAATTTTTCTGGATTTTATGCAGTACATTTGCAAGCAATCAATGAAACATTTTTATCTGGAGCTTTGACCTGTTTGTGTGAATGTATAGTAGCAAAACAATCACAGTTCTCTTGCTGTTATTTTTGAATTTCATAACTCCCTTTCCCTACATGTTATTAAATTCTGAGTGCGATCATTAATCAACATATTACTGCTTCACTTTGCTGAAAGCAACAGGGATTCACAAGCCATTAAACTGACATTCCAGCTGTCAAAATATAGGGAATATACAAAAACATGTTCATGCTATTCTGTTATTACTGGCAGACATTGAAACTCAGAGACAGACCTAAATTATGATGACAGATCTTATGCAGCAGGTATAGATGTGATGTCCTCATTTAGAGTTGTGTGTAAAAAAAAAAGTGGAACAATAGGGAACAGGAAGGTTGAACCAAACTAATCACAACTTACAATAAAAAACAATTAAAAAAAAGATATTGGTCCTAGTCACTGCCTATTATCACCCCCATCCCTCTGTCGCTCATACAGTTAAAACCATTATAAAACAGGAATAGTGACAGAACTTCAGAAAAGGTACTGTACACCTTCAATACTCTTTAATCAGGAACACACATCTTCCCCTGTCTCTTTACAGGATATGCCTGCGATGTTAAAACATTTACACAGCTTGGCCTACCCAGAATTTCTTACCTCCACTTTCATTGCAATGCATAAAAAAACAGGTCCAGCTATGGTTCACAAAACACATTAAAATCTGATCATACAATCTCAGTACAGTCAATTTAAGATTTACCAAAACTGTATAATATGAAGATCTAGCTGATCTAATCAATCAGACTCTAATCAGTCAGACAGGTCTTTGCACAGATAGATCGAAAGTAGATTACTTAGTTTTGCACTCCTGAGAACCTAAAGCCCACTGTCAGCTAATGCCACAGAGCTGCTTCAGGCTCTAGAAGGATCTCAACCATATTGTCGGCTGAGAGCCAAAGCCAGCTGCGTGCGCCCCCTCTCAAGCTTGGCCCTCCAGTAATTTCAGTGAGTTATTCCTAAAAATTACAGGCCTACAATATAAAACACCAAATTTCCATGCAAAATAATGGTACCGCTTTCAGCATCAAAAATCTGAAATAATCTTACCGCCAGGGAGGTTAAACAAACCAATTAATATACACTTAATGGGATTTTGTTTACTGTACACAGCTAACCCGTTGATTGCCCCAGCCTGCCCAGTGTCATTAGTACAGTGTCAGTGCTTTTTATTAGCACTGATCACTGTATTAGTGTCAATGGAGATGTCAGCGGCAGTTAGTCAGTTCCCACCGAGTGTCAGTTAGTGTCAGAATGCCTGTCGCAGTCCAGCCATCCCTGTTTTAAATCACTGAACACCGCCATTACTAGTATAAAATAAATAAATACATAAAAATTCAAGTATATATACCGCCATTTATAGACGCTATAACTTTCACGCAAACCAATTAATATACATTTATTGGCATTTTTTTTACCAAAGACATGTAGCAAAATACATTTTGGCCTAAATCTATGAAGAAAATTGATTTTATTGGATATGTTTTTTAACAGAATATAGAAAATATAGGGGTTTTTTTTTTTCAGAATGTTCGGACTATTTTTGTTTATATAGCAAAAAAAATAACTCAGGGGTTACCAAATACCATCAAACGAAAGCTTTGTTTGTATAAAAAATTATATAAATTTCAGTGCAGAGCATAGAAGGTCAGCAGGGCAGAGCACAAGATTTTAGCAGGGCGGAGTAGAGGGGGTCAGCAGAGCAGAGTAGAGGGGGTCAGCAGAGCAGAGTAGAGGGGGTCAGAATGGCACATTACATGAGAGCAGGGCCCATTACATGGGGGCAGGGCACATTACATGGGGCAGGGCATATTACATGGGAGCAGGGCACATTATAGGGACAGGGTATATTACATGAAAAAAAACTGAAGGTCATTAGTACAATAAGGGATAGTTAGTGATTTAACCCTTTCTGCTCTCTACTGGTTTTGGCTTTCTTGGTCCATATTGTAGAGATTTACCATCACTTCCTATCCCTCGAAACCTCTGTTTCCCAGATCAAGATGTAAGGGCTGGCTTCTTCAACAGGGACACAGTAATTAAAAAGAAGATCTTGAGCCAGGATTTAAAGCCAAATGTTTATTTTTGGTTGTTTTATTATTTTTCTTTTTAGTTGTTTTATTATTACTCTGTTTTAAAAATATTACATATTACATTTTCTAATGACGCATTATATGCAGTTCATTGAAAAAATCATCAAGAATGGTGATCTGCTTTTTTTTATTTTATGGGTACTAAACAAAGTTTTTTTGTTTTTTTTATTTTAAAGCAATGATAAATTCTAATTTAACAAAAACAGAATATTATTTATATGAAGCAGATCTCTTTTACATGCTTATGTAAAAATATTTGAAAATACTATAACTTTATTTTAACGGTTCAATATAAGCACGGTATTTTTTTAAAATCCAAAATACAAGTCATTTAGTTTATGGATGACAGTTGCTGTGTAGAGTGGTGACAGTAATTTTAGCTGCAGCCAGAAGGGAACT